GTGGGCGTCGGGAGTGTGCAAGAAGGGCTGAGAGATGAGGTCTTAGCCTTTAGCCTGTGGATTCCTAAGCAAAGGGTATCTGGAATTTTCCAGAAAAAGGTCTTAGGGCATACATAGGAAGCAGGCCTCTCGGGAGGCACATTTTGTAGCGTGACAGCTGCAGGAGAGTTCAGAGTGTGATTTCACATGACATGATTACAGTGTAATATACTATTTTGGTTCTTCTGGTCTGTATTGCTGTGTCCTCTTAGAACGTTTACACTGGAGTTTATTTCAAACAGCCTGTATGTAGGGTTTTTTGGTTTTTGTGGTTTTGTTTTTTTTTTTTTTTTTTTTTTTGGAAGTCCTATACTGAGATATCAAGGACAATAAAGCTGACATTGTGAGGGGTTGAATACCCTTGCAGTGTTGCAGTACTTCAGATCCTACATGAGGCTGGGGAGGGTGTTCACTTTCTTTTCCTAATAAAATAAACTCCTAAAGATGTCCATGTCCAGGACAATTAAAATGGCCGGTTTCAATGGAAGAATTTTTGGTGTGCTGTCTCTGAAATTAGTGATCTCAGCTTTTTTTCTTTGATCTGCAAAACTTGTAAATAAGTAGCCTAGCCCAGGCAGGAGATACTGGGGGTCCTGATTCAGCTGGCTGTTTGAGGTGCCTTGGGTTGTCCTATGTGGCCTGCAGCTGTACCTCCCACAATGAATGCATCTCCCTGTAGACCTGAATCATATTTACTGGTCCTACATAGATGGTTTCGGTAGCCTGGGGTTTCTCAAATGGCTATTGCCATCAGTGGTTAGGCAGCTGAGGGAAACTCTGTTTCTTCTTCTCCTGCCACTCAGTCACTCTGATGGGCTATGGTGATTTTTTTTTTTTAATTATTTTTAATTTTTTTTTTGAGTGGGCTAACACAGGGTCTGTGATACTGGGTTGGTCACGGTAAGGGGAATTAAGAACTTTCCAGAGGCTGCAAAAAGTTTTTCAAGTTCTCACTTTCAATCAATTAGCATTTAGTGGGATTTGTTGTGATTTCTTTCCTCTGCTGCTGTTTTCCACCAGTTTAAATCTGGTCTGAAAACAAAACTTGATGCTCCCGGTACAGGCAGAACACTGTAGGTCTGTTCTAACACAGTGCTATAAATGTGTGTCTGTGATGAGATATAGAAATAAATAACTGTGTTGCTTGAATATAGAAGTACGAATATTTCCATGTTTGGACAAATAAATAAAATGAAATTTGATGCAGTCTGTGGTCAGCCCATGCCAGGCTCTGTGTGCCATTGCGGAGTGCTAATCTGTGATTCTGTGCTCGTCTTTGAAAGTTTCTGTTGCTTGGAGGGAATATGTAGAGTGGTAAAAGCCAGTGGCTTGTGCCATTACTCCAGGTGTTATTGTATGTTGAGCTAGGAATATGCTATACATTCTGAACGAAAATGTGTTTATTAGTGTGTTTTCATTGCTTAGCTGTACTCTTATTCTACAACATTTAAAGAAAAAAATCTGATAATTCTATTCAGTAGGTCTGGTTTTGACCTTACATGTACCGATTCTTACACTGATCTTGAATCCATTGACTTCAGACGCGTTACTCCTGATTACACCAGGGTCATCTCATAATGAGGGGCCAAGGTATTAAATGGAAATGCACCAATAAAGCCATCAAGCTCAGACCTACTCTGTCCTCACGTGCTTGATCTGAACAATAAGAACTGGTGATTTATAAATCATGTTGTCTGTTTGCTTCTTCGTCGTGTAATTCATTTTTTCCGTTGAGTAAATGAAGATATTCTGACCTTAACTCATCCCTTGTGAATTGTTTTGAAAAAAGCAGGATAGCTGTACCCCTTAAATGTGACTCAAGCTTTTGTTCATATTTAGTGAGTGTCATCTTATTTTTTTTTAAAGGAAACACATTTCTCTTGACCTCTAGGATCTGGCAGGACTTGCTGCATCCTCTTTTTCATCACTTTATCTTTGTGGCTTATTTTTAAAAAAATATTTTTTACATTTTCAGAAGGAAGACTGGCCAATGCACAAGCTGGAGTGTTCCGCCATGTGTGCTTTTGGGCAGAACTGGAATCCCTCGGAGACTGTGAGGCTAACGGCGAGGATCCTTGCCAAACAGGTGAGCAGGAGGCTAGACTTGGGAGATATATTCCTGCTCTGGGTGCCAGGGGAGGCAGGAAAATGAAAATTGACCGACAGTAACTGTCCTTGCAAAGCACATACATACTAGCTTCCTGTGTACAGATGGGTGTAATCCAGAGCATGGGCACCTGAACGAACTGACCATCAGACCGCTGCAGCAGCATTAGAGCCACCGTAGTCCAGCTGCAGACTTTTGGGGTAAGATGACAAAAAGCTAGTGAGGTTCTAAGCTGTGTAGCTTTAATTTATGGCCAAGGTACTGTTTCAACAGAGTCTGGAAAATTTATTGGTAGTTTCACAAATGCACATTGTGTTTCAGCCTCCATTCTGGTAGGCTGGAGCTCGTGGTTACGTGTGTGGGCTAGCACCAAGGCTGCATTGGTGAAGAGAAAGGAGAATGAGACGTAGTATATGTGGTTAAACTCTGAAGGGCGCCCCTAGTGTTATCTGTCTGCAGGCACTGATGCCTTTATGAAGCAGTTGCCTGTTGTACTATTTTTCAGCTGTAACGGCATAGCATTGTATAGTATATAACTCCCAGTACATTTGAGGTATTCAGGTATAAATGTTTATGATTACTGGAGTTAACTGGTGAAAAACAGAGATTTCTCTCTCAATCTCAGGCCCTTGGTCTTTGGAGTAAAAGGATATTATTAGTAAGGAAATAAGATTTCAATCTCAGCCTCCATTTCAGTGTTCCCTAACTATATGGATACTGAGGATAACACAAGTGCTTACAGGGAGGGGACAGAATTCTTGAGTTTCAAGGTTATTATCTGTGTAGAGCTCTAAACTCTCTGCAGAAACAAATCCTCTTTGAAGCATGTTTGTGTGATGGAGGTCTGCTTATGTGACAAGGGCAACCTGGATACTGTATGTAGTGAGGATTTAGGTGGCCTGCTGGGAAGGTAGCTGTGTACTTGCTGTGTGCATAGATGTGTGTGTGTGAATATATGTGTGTGACTTAATTAAAGCGTGGTTTAGTGGTGATCCACAAACAAAATCAAATGTTTAATGACAAAAAGTCATTGGAATAAATTTGTGCTTTTATTGCTTACAGGGAGGGGGGAGAACCCTACATGTCATTTAAAAGCTAAATATGCAAACCATAGTCCCTGAACCTCAGCTGCTGGGCCACCTGCAAAGCCATATTTAATGGCCAAGATTACAAAGAAGTGGCCTTAGGCCAACAATGGAGCATTGCTTTTGAACTCTGTCAACAGTCAGTTTATTCACTTTCCTCAAAGCAAAGCCTGTCTCCTGCCTGCTTGCTATTGTTAGGAGCTTTCTGGGTGTCTAGAACAAAGCAAATGACATATTTAAAATAGTGTTCAGTTTATGTATATAAATTTGATAGGAGTTAATCTTTGTCTGCCTAATTTGGTGCGGAGAGAATATTGCTGTGGCTTTACTAAGGGCAGTCAATTTAAGTCATTGCTGGTCATCAACTTCTGTAAATTCCATACACTGTGGATTTGGGTTTTTTTGCAGGTGGGAGTTCCCAGCTTACGAATGAGTAGACAAAACTGCCAACTTAAAACATTAACATATTTTCTTCTTGTTTTTTTTTCCCTTATTGCTAGAAAACTCACCCTGAAAGAACACAGTCAGAGAAGCTGCTTGCTGTAAAAGAGTTTGAGTCACGTAAGTAAAAAAGGCTTGCAGGTAAACAGAGCCAATTATCTATATTCATAATTTGCTCTACCCCCTACCTCCCCTCTATCAAAACCTTTCAGAGCATCCCACTCCTCTCAGAGGAAGGGAGTAAGCAGAGAGAATTTTGGTTCCTCTTTTTTGAAAGTGCAGTGGTCTTTCTTTCTTTCCTTATTTTTTTCTTGGTCTCTTGTGGGGGCTGTGAAGTAAGGTTGAAAACCTAGACAGAATTAATTATGTAGCATACATCCATCTCGTGGCTTTTCTGGTACTCTAGTGTCTTTTGAGAATTGTAATGTTGTAAAATTAAAGTAGCTGTGTTTTGTTACCAGGAGGCATAAAATCAGAGACAGCACAGTTGCTTTATGGTGACAGTGACTAAGGGGCTAATTGCAGAACCCTCTGGACTGTGCTTCAGTATCTGTCACTGCCAGTCAAATCTGACATGTTATATATGATTGTGTTGAAATCCCATGTCCTAAATGCTCCAAAATAATCCAAGGAAGGAGATGAGGCAATGGCTTGCTTTTAACTGGAAGGCTACTGTTTACATTTGGTGAGCCAGAGTTAGAAATTGAGCAACTAGGGGACTAGTGACTGTCCTGGCATAGTTTTCACTGGTCTGTCTTTTTCTTGGTGCTGGGGGTAATATATAAGGAGACAATAGGTTTGTATATTCACAGTTCTCATTCTGATGGCTTCCAAAACTCTTTATAAAATGCTGAATAAGTTCAGTCATTGCTAGGACTTGAGGTAGCAGAGCAACCAAGCACAGCAAGATTGTACAGTCTTATTTGCTTCCTGGACAAAAACCTTCTGTCCCAGCTGTTGGGACAACTGGGGGAATAAGGGGAGAAAATGGCAACATTTGACTTTACCTCAGGCAAGGATAATTTTTACACATGGGGTAGTGGGATGGAGGTTGAGGAGGATGGGTAAGTGCTGAAGTAATTTCTGTATATTCTTCTGCATTGCAGCTTATATTCAGTAATTTATTAATTCAGGAGGTAAAAGGCTGTAAGGTTTTCAGTGTCCCCCTTGTCCTCTAGGAGACCTTGTTTCATTTCTGGTTTTGTTAGTAAGAACCCCTTGTTCCTTCTGCCTTGTTAACTCTCCTCATCTCTCAGCACACCTTTGCTGTGTTGCCTTGCTCTTTGCAACACCCTGCACAGGAGAGGAAAAGGCATCTGGCTGGCAGTTGGAAACTGAAAATTTCTGACTTGTTCTAATTCTCATTAAATTGTCCCATTTCATTTTCCGCAGTATTTTTTGTGACTCTCCTGTCATTCACATCTGCTCTTACAAATAATTTCCCCCTTCTTCCACTGTTGTACAGCCTTTTCTCTTCCTGCGTGTTTTCCTCTCCACTCGTATTTTCAGTTGGAGAGGGGAAACTGGTGAGTTGCTGTCTCTTTCAGAGCAGGAGTGAGTTGGTGACACTGCCACTGTGAGAGTGAGGATTAGGAAGGAACTTTCCAACACTCTGCTCTTGAGGAGGGAGAAGGGTCCAGGAGTATATGGTCAATCACTTAGCTTGCTCTGGATGGACCAGGCAGAAAAAGGTTCAGCGGCCACAGCTTTGGCTAGAACCTGTCATGGGCCTGAGGGTAGATTTCCGAACAAACCCATAATGGAATACACTGGGCAGGTGTGCCCGGACATTTGCACTGATGTTCCTGCTGGCTCCTGTTAGGTATCTGCAGCTTAAACACACCTCTGGTGATGGTCACCCTCCAGCCTGTGGAGACATGGACATTCTCAGGTAGCTCACAGGGTCGTGTTAGACAGCTGAGGATAGCTACCCATAGCTGATCGGCTTCTAGAGGGCCAGGGCTGGCTGGTCTGTTTGCCAGGTTAACAAATGCATTGTAAACACTGTAACCCTTCTCCCAAGAAAGGGAGATTTGTGTCCGACTAACTGGTAATGTTAAGGTGTTAGAAAGTGCTTTTTAATCCTGCATGTTCTTGTAGGGCATGCGTGGTTTTGGCAGAAGTAGCATTATGTTTATGGAAGAATACACACCTCTTGCAGTGCTTCCAAGTAGCTGTTCCTTGAGGAGTTTCTGTTTAAGTCCTGTTCTAACCTAAGTCTAGCTGCAGTTCACAGGGAAGTGTTATGTTACTGAAATGGAATGTATTCTTTGTCCACAGACCTTGACAAACTAGACAATGAAAAGAGAGAGCTGATTCAGAACGACATTGCTGCTCTTCATCACTTTTACTCAAAGCACTTGGAGTACCCTGACAATGCTGCCCTTGTAGTTCTCTTTGCACAAGTAAGTTGGCTAGAACACAGCCTGCTTAGGTGGATGGTGCTGTAGGAGTTTAGCCTTTGCGAAAGGGGAACAGTGTTAATGGCAATGGAAATGGTAGCTCTTTGCTTATCTTAGAGAGCTGAGAGTGCTTGATGGAGAAGATCCCCTTCCTTGAGCTGAAGTGGCTGGACATACCCCATTTCAGTAGTGAGGGGAGAGACTCTTGTCTGCAGACTTTCTATGAGGTGCTTCTCAGACACTGAAGAAAGGGGAAGCAGTCTGTATTAGACCCTGTCAAAGTTAGGCTTCTTGTGGGCCAAGCGTAGTGCAGCTGTTGTTGGGCTTACACGGAAGGCTGCTGTTCTCAGACCCTGCAGAGGCAAGATCCTTCATTCAGGCTTCAAACCTGTGGAAATCCTTGCTGGTCAGGTCATCATTGTGTTTGACCTTCACAGGGCCTAAACTTCAGAGAAGTAGAAAGAGCAGGCTGAAACTTTTATCTGGTGTGTGGCTTTTAAATGCACTCAAGTAGTTTGGTCATCTGGAGAGATGAAGGAAAAGCAGGATGTCTTGTTAGATAACTTCTGAAATGTGTCACCTCTTTTTTTTTTTTCTCACCTACTTTTAATACACATCAAAATTGAATGTATTGTAGTGGATGGAATAACATACCAGTGGAATACTGAAAGATCCACTTTCTTCTTTTTCCTCCTGTACTTCAAAATAAGCTATTTTTAAACTTAAATTTCTCAGTAAAAGTTTGATTTTTTTTGAGATGGGGACGAACATCGATTGCTGTGATGAAAGCTGTTGCTCTGTAGGGAAACATGTTTGGCATCTGCTCATCATCCATTGTTGTTTCTAATTATGTTTCTCTTCCGTGAAAAGTTTTTTCAGTTTTGAAGACTTTACAATTTATGTTTGTTAGAGGGATACTTTAAAGACAGCAGTATAGCCAGTGTCTTGTGGCATTTCTGAATGGTTTTGTTGGAATGTAGCCAGAATCCCCAAAGATTACATTATTTTGGCTATAATGACTTTTGCTTCATGCCCTGGACCAGCTCCACCAGGTCATGGTACTTTAACTGACTTCTGTGAACTGCTGACTTCCAGATCTGATATTCTAGCCGGTCTTCTCTGTAGATGTCCAATGTCACCTTGGGTGTCTTCCTGATCATCAGGCGACTGTCTGCCACTGTGGACGTTGGAATTTTTTGAACTAAAATCCCCGAAGGTCATCTAGGTGCTCCTCAGAAGTGTTTTACAGAACACAACCTTTTGAGGTTTTCGCCCCAGCATAAATCTTTCTAGAAGAAGGGGAGGCATTTCTGTACTTGATATGTACAAACATGTTTACTAATAATTGATTAACTTGACCTAAAACCAATAGTATGGGTATGCTGCTGCTCCTTTGTTCTGCCTTCATGTTGTCTGCTTTGCTTCTGCGTGTGACAGTCTTTCTCCCTGGGGCTCAAGGCAGTCGTTTGGGACTTGGATACTCTGATTCCTTGCTCACTGCTTTTTGTGGGCTTTGTCCGGTGTTGTTTCTTACTCAACACAGCTAAGGTGTAATTGGTCCTTTTGAGTAGAGCAAAGATTTTTGTCCAAACCATCCTTGCCTTTCATTGCTCTTTTCCTTAGCTTTTGATATCATTCTACTCTCTTTTGATATCATTCTACTCTCTTTTGTCCCTGTGAATATAGCTCTTGAGACTG